TCTGCTCAATTCTGAAACACAAGAACTGGAGGATGCCACAAAGTGATTGGAAATTGTCGCACTGGGATAAAATGAGGCTATCCCGCCCATTAAGCCTATTGTACAAGAACAGGAGAAGGCCATGAAACCACTTGAGACTTTTTTTATGGGAAAGGAGAAGGTAATTTAGCCATGTGTCTGTTGTAGGGGAACAGGAGGACACCAGTCACTTCCTCTATCCCACTTCAGAGATGTAGGAGGAGATCGTTCAGTATCTCTAGCCTGTTAAGAAGAACACAAGGAAACCTTTCAGTCCCTCCAATGTTACATCGCAGCAAGAAGATTCCACAAGTCCTCAAGCCTCTCAGAAAGTAACAGGAAGAGGACATTCAGACTTTGACTGAATTGCTCAGGAACAGGTGCAGGACATTCAAGCCAGTGAGTCTACAATGTAGAAACACCAAGAAGACATTTCAGACCATTGAGTTTGTAAACTAGGAACAGAGTGAGTCCATTCAGCCTCTTGAACAGCAATTGGAACAGGTCTTTTTAAGCCTTGTGCCCATTACCCAGAATTTAAAAATGAACATAGACGTTATAGAAAGGGAAACACTTAGAAAATCAGCGCCACTGGGGAATAAAAAGTAGTTACAAAACTATTGAAATTTAAAGCAAATTGTAAGAATCTATTATTAAGGAATTAATTACAAGACATTTGCAAAGTCAAACCACAATCCATCAGAGTCAGGATGCCTTTATAAAGGATAAATGATTTGAATTATTTGCCTGAGTCCTTTAAAATGTATCAGCAAAGTCAATAATGGGGATCCTGGAAATGTAATATATCTGGACATAAAAGAGGCATTCAATGATGTGCCACCCAAAAGATTAGTCCATAAGATTAGATAACATGGGGTTAGGAGTAATTTATGAGCTTGAATAATGGATTGGTGAAGCAAAAAATGCAGAGAGACTAGAGAAATGGCTCGTCTTCTGGATGGCAAAATGCAACTTATGTGTTGCCATAGAGTTCTGTCCTCAGGCCCCAACTCTTTGCAATCTATCTTATTACCTGGATAAGTGGTAGAAAATACTACAACCAAATATTCATACGACACTAAAATAGTTGGAAAAGTACTTTGCAATGCAGATGTAAGAATTTTCCAGATGTATATGGATACACTAGCTGAAGGAACTAACATTTGTCAGACGAAATTTATTGTGGATAAGTGTAAGTTTACCATTTTTGTCAGAAGAATAGAAAGACAACTTTTTATCTTAATGGAGAGAATCTTCAGTGTACCTGTACTTAAGTGCAGAGGGCTTCGTGTGTCTTCCTGCATATCGCAGAAAACCAGTATCAGGTACAGCAGGTAATGAGAAACACAAGTGCAATTTTGGCATTAATTTCAAAATAAAAGTATAGAAGTAGAGAAGAGATGTACTGCAACTATGCAAGGCATTAGTGAGACCACAACTGGAGTACTGTGTACAGTTTTAGTGCCCTTGCTGAAGGAGGGATGTAACTGTATCGGGTAAAGTTCAGAAGAGATTCACTAGATTGATTCCGGAGATGAGGAATTTGTCTCATGGAAGAGTTTGGGCAGTTCAGGCCTATACTCTCTTGAGTTTAGAAGAATTAGCAGAGATCTCATTGATGTATGTAAGATGCTAAAGGTGATTGATAATGTAGATGTGGAGTGGATATTTCCTCATTTGGGCCAATCTTGACCAAAAAAAATATAGTTTTAGGATAAAGCGGAGTAGATTTTAAAAAGGGGTGAAGAGAACTTAATTCTCTCAAATAGTTATAAATCTGTGGCGTTCACTACACCAAACTGCAGTGGATGTAGTGAGATTGAGTAAATGTAGGGTTATGGACAGCGAACAGGGAAGTAAAATTGAGGCTGCAATAACATCAGCCATGATCATATCAAATTGCAGAGCATGCTCAATGACCTGTATTGTCCAGTGATGCTCCTTGTTTGTATGCCTTGATGCAACTTTAAGCCCATTGAATGTGCTAGATAGGATTGGGCGAGGACTGGTTATCAAACAGGAAGCAGACATTCGGGATTAAACAGTATTGATCAGTTTGACAAAATCTAACCAGTGCAGTCACAACTATTTACAATCTATAACAATGATTTGGAGGAGTGGAACAAGTGTACTGTAACTAAGTTTGGGAATGACACTTAGATAAGCAGAAAATTAAATTAGCAGGTGAAGGTGGAGAGTCTGAAAATGGATATAAACAGGTTAAATCAATGGATTATAGTTTGGCAACTGGAATACAATATGACTGAATGTGAACCTGTCAATTCTTTTCAGGAAGAACCGCTTCAGACATAAATGCAGTTTTGCAACATCTGTTCTCCGATGACTCGAGTGGTTCCAGTGCTTTCTGTACACATAGGATATTTTGACGTGGTTGTTTGTCAGTAATGTGTTGTGAGGGGTAGGGTCTTTTTAACCGTGTATCAAGGGGGTGGGCTTTAACCGAGAGGCCATTCTTTCTTTCTATGTGAAGACCCGAAGACGATGGGACCGGCTGCCTGCTTCTGAATGAAGAGGCTGTAGTTGCTGCCAGGGCAGTGGGTATTCATGATGTACTCTGCACAGTGACATTCCAACATTAATGGAGTAAGTGTTCCTTCAGTTTCTCTACCTTGCCTCATTGACAAGGGGACCCCGCAGAGCCATACACACCATTGGGCATCCCGCTACACTGGGAAAACAAAGAGACACCTGATACCTCCCTGCTGAGGGACAAAATATTGTGTTCACCTCATTCAGCCAATATATCCTCTGTCACCGAATGGTGACATTGATGCCGACATATTGGGAAATGATGTATATGTCACCCATTTCTGCCTGAAAAGTTTCGGATCATAGAAGCTGAATGAAACTGTGATTCTGACAGTCACTGGCAGCACTGTCTTCAATCTGGTGTGAAGCTGCAGGTCGTTTTGAAGGAGGTGACACCGTTCTATGACCAGCTCCTTGCACAATCAGGGACGCCTCACATTCAGCTCCTGGGTTAAGTTTAGGTCGGGAAGCTTTTCCTGAAAAACCAGGGAGGATATGGCGGATCCCTTTCCCCACATAAACTCACTGCGTGGTTTCAGAGCTTCCTCTCTCTGCAACCTCTGCTCTATTTGTTGATCATGTTGCAGACCCTGATGCTGTATCTACAGTCCCCATGTTCCGTCCAGAGTCGGGTCACCAAAACCTCAGGTCTTCCTGAATGTATGAAGCAGCTCACAGCACAACTTCCAGAAAAGCATCCCCAACAACTCTACTAAATTTACAAGAATAGGAATCAGTCAGAAGCCCCTGAGCTACAAGTTAGGGCCCCTAATCTTTACCACAATACTCGAGGGGATTCTTCGTGTTACTGACTGCATGATCAGCTGAGAACAATGAATGCAGGTGTTCAGTAGACAGGCACAGACCAAGTTTCAATGATGAGTGTCAAAACTGCTTAAACTGCCTGTCCAATATTGAGCTCGTGACACACTGGGAAATGAACAACAGCCCGACATACACCATTTCATTGTTTCTGACCTTTACACTACCGACACATGATATATTAGAGAGTCAAAAACCCAGGCCAGGGAAAGGGGCAGAGGGCCAGAATATATGCATTGAAGATAGAAACATACAATTAATTAACTGAGAACATGTTGTGGAAATATGGGGAAGAAGATAGAGGAGTGGGATTAACTGGAGCAGTGAGACCTTGGAAGGTCCAATCTCAAGAATGAAGAAATTGAATAAAGGCATTGTCAGATCAGTTGAAGTGGTTCCTACATCAAATTCTGAATATAACTCACAGAACCAGCGCAGACTCCAGAAACTGGGGCAAGAAAGCAGCCCAGCATGGAGAGCTGTGCAGAGTACGCTAGTGTATTGCTCAGTTCACTGGACTATCCTCCCAGGATATTCTTGCACTAGATAACTGCACTGCCTGGGGAAATTTTCAGCTCATACAGTGAGTGACAGTAAATGGGACTTTCTCAAACTTATGCCTCGATGTCTCCATTACACCAATTCAAGGCAAGGTGTGTATGTGTGTGTGTGTGTGTGTGTGTGTATGTGTGTGTGTGTGTGTGTGTGTGTGTGTGTGCGCGTGTGTGTGTATGTGTGTGTGTGAGTGAGAGAGAGAGACGGGCTGTGGGGAGGGTTGTTGTTAGATGTGAAAATCATTGTTTGAGAGAGACCACACATGGAGGAAATCATGTTAAATATGAAAAACTGGCACGGGTTTGATTGATTTACAAAGAGTCTGAGGGATGTTTCATGAAGAGATGTGATGACGTGCTTGAGAATATTAGAATAAAGGCATTGTGCAGACCCATGAACAATATAGATCAGTGCACACAGGAATGACAGATGGATGGGGTTTTTGTGTGAGTTCAGATACAAGCCATGGAGTATCGCCTAAGATTCATTTATGCAGTTTGAAGCTGGGAGTTTCAGCAGCAGATAATTGGTATCATTAAGATTCAAATAGCAGATGGGATGAGTCAGTACAATATATTCTGGAAGTATTAATAATTAAAATTAAAATTAAGAATGGACAGGGTATACTGTCAGAAATCAACTCATGGCCAAAGGGATGACCACAGTTATGAATGGTCTGTTTCAGTCTCAGATATTGGCCAGGGATGGGATGCAGTCAGAGGGAGGAAATGGAGTTTGTAACCAGAATAGGAAACAGTGATCTCCATGCTCCCAATATTTAAGTACCAAGGACAGTGATGCGATGAATTGTGGTTCACAGATGAAACTGAGTGGGTCAACAGAGAGAGACCTACGAGGGACACTGCCGGAAGCAAAGAGCGAGAGCGTGAATGAACAAGCTCACTGATGCAGTTAATAGCGGTTTGTCGAGTTAATATCAGGATTCAGACTCTTAACAGGAAAAATAACAGTGGCAAGGAGTATTGATCAAATTAGAAGATGGTAATGCAGTTACACAATGTTTGTAGAAATGATAACTGGAGAGTAAGACTTACCAGGGACACCAACGATAGCCAGGATAGGGTAATAAAAATATTGAATAATGTAAAGTGCATATAGGATTCGCAGCGATAATGACCATCGATCATAATATGTAGCAAGAAACCAAACATCCTCGGATAAACTCCTGTCCATTGTTGTAACATTCCAGTCTGACGTTGTTAGATTCTGATCCATTGTTGGAGCTTTCCAGTTTATGGTTCTCAGATTCTGGTGTCTCCTACCCCGCTGTCTGGAGCTGAAGATCCCTGTTAATGCTGTAGGTGATGCTCCCACTCATATTATGGCATAACACACTGATGGGAGCCCATTTATTATTTATAAATGGAAACCTTCCACTGGGATAATTAGAATCGATTGAGACTGACTTTAATCACAGTTCCTGAACAAACAGGTTCAGTTAACCCACTCCTTACATCATTCTTCATATCACGGTGAAAGGAAACATTTACTCCGTCTTCATAAGATGCCTCGTGAGGAAATTTGCAGAGATCACAAACCAGGGTAACAATATTCATTGTTCATTGACTTTTTGTAATTCTGCCCCTATTGTTAGGTGCCCAATTATCAGATACTTTCTTAACATTGAGACACCATTTAAAGATTTAAGACTGATGCTCAGGAACAGGAGGAAGTCCCCATGTGCCTGTTATAGAGGGATAAGAGGAGTCCATTCAGCCCACACTAACCTATTACCACTTTCAGAGGTGGAAAGCTGGAATATTGGTATATTTTGCGAAGAGAATCATTTAAAACAGACAGAGATATTACTGCAGCTGTACTGCACTGTCTTGCTGAGAGGACACCTGAAGTACATTGTCTTGTTTATGTTTCTGCAACTGAGAAGAGAGGGCCCTCCAGCAGGTGCAGATTAATGGCTACTCATAACGTACAAGTTCCTGTGTCATTTAATGCCTCGAGCCTGTTACAGATGGACAGGAGGAAATCGTTCAGCCTCTCTCGAGTCAATTACACAAGAACAGGGGGAGGCCATTCAGCCTCTTTAGCCTGTAATGAGGTCTGGAGCTGAGTGGCCATGACGGAACCCAAACTAGCCGTCACTGAGCAGGTTATTTCTGAGGAGGTGCTGTTTGATAGCACTGTTGATGACACCTTCCATCACTTTACTGATGATTGAGAGTAGGCTGATGTGGTGGTATTTGGCCAGAATGGATTTGTCCTGCTTTTTAGGTACATGACATACTTGGGCAATTTTCCGCATTGTCAGGTAGACACCAGTGTTGTAACTGTACTGGAACAGCTTGGTTAGGGGAGTGGCAGGTTCTGGAGCACAAATCTTCAGTACTATTGCTGGAATGTAGTCAGGGCTGGTAGCCTTTGCAGTATTAGGGTGGCATGGTGGCTCAGTGGTTAGCACTGCTGCCCCGCAGTGCCAGGGACCTGGGTTTGAATGAACCCTTGGGTGACTGTTTGTGTGGAGTTTGTACATTCTCCCTGTGGATTTCCTCTGGGTGCTCCGGTTTCCTCCCACACTCCAAAGCTGTGCAGGCTAGGTGGATTGGCTATGCTAAATTGCCTGTAATGTTCAGGGGTGTGTAGATAAGGGGGATAGGTCTGGGTGGGATGCTCTTTGTGCCAGTGTGGACTTGATGGGCTGAATGGCCTATTCCCACATTGTAGGGATTCTATGATGATGTCTAGAGTCTCCAACCGTTTTGTGAGATCACATGGAGTGAATTGAATTGGCTGAAGACTAGCATCTGTAATGCTGGGTACCAGTAAAGGAGGCCGAGATGCATCATCCACTTGGCACTTCTGGCTGAAGTGAAGTGATAAACAGAAGAGTGCAGTTCTCGGAGTATGATCTGACCTCTGGGTTATGGGCCCAGTTCTCTCCCACTGTGACCCTCTGCTCGCATAAGTGAAATACAAATAAATAAATTACACAATCACAAGATCTGTTGAATTGAGTTCTGTTTAGTAAAATCTAAGAATAAAAAGACCGTGTGAAGAATTGTTTTCCAGATTGGGGGAGAGTGCACAGTGCTGTTCCCCGGGGTCAGTATTGGGACCACCTCTGTTCTGGACAGATATTAATGACACACACTTGCGTATAGAGCGGACAATTTCAAAATCCTAAATGAGGCAAAACTCACAAATGAATTAAACAATTCAGAAACCCTAGAGACTGGTATTTCCGCACCGTCCCCCCGCCAAAAAAATGGTCTGGTTACTTAACATCATTATCTGTCATTTTCCTGAGCCTGATGCTTCAAAAATCACTGGCATTTCACACGCCGATGTATGTACGTATTTTTGCAATCTTAATTGATCCCTTACTGTGTTACTTTCGTATATGTTAAGAGTTACAAAAAAAAACGGCCGGGAGTTAGTCTTTTCTGAGACTCAGATTCAAAACAACGTCGCTATAGCCACAACACAGAGACCTGACCACAATGCAAACACAACGACATTGCATAAGCCCCACATGAAGCAGCCAATGAATAACGTGTTAGAACATCACCAGACACACAACAGGAATATTCGCTAAACAGCAGGCTGAGATGAAAGAACTTACAGTTGCGAAAATCTTTGGAATTTGGGCCTCAGAGGTCATGACACATCGGCATTGAGTCTATGAAAGACTGAGATTCACAGCTTTCTACAGATTAAAACACATCAGGAGCCCAGGGAATAGTGCAGAGAAATGGCATTGCAGTAGGAGGTCCTTCATGATCTAATTGAACAGTGAGGTGGACTCGAGGGGCTGAGTGGCAGCATTACACCCCTTACATTCTAAACTGAAAACATTCTTTCTTAAATTCACTCAAAGAATGTATTTCATATTCAGGTCGAGCTGATATAACTTTGCTGGTGTACAGTTTCGGATATACTAACCCAATCTTTCTCCATCTGCCTTAAAAACATCACGGACTCCGTGGGATGCAATGAAGTTTTACGCTGATTTTGCCAGGATTGGATCAAATAGAGGAATGACTGGGTAGTCTGGGATTGTTCTCCTTGGAACAAACGAAGCTGAGGGGATATTTGTTAACATTTATAAACATTCAATATTCTTAGCAGCCTAGATAGGGTAGATATGGACAGGTGGTTTCCCCAAGTATGAGAGTCGATGAACAGCGGACATAATCTCAGAATAGGATATTGCCCATTTATTTCAGATATGAGGAGGAATTTCGATCGCTCAGGGGCAAGTAAATCTGTGGAATTCTTCCCCACAGACGGCTGTTGAGGCTATGTTGGTGGCATTTTCAAACTGAGCTGGACAAATATTTAATGAGTAAGACCGTCAAAGTTTATCCAGATAAGTCAGGAGAATGGAGTTGAAGATTATCAGATCAGCCATAACCTCATTGAATGGGCCGAATGGCCTGCTTCTGCTCCTGCATCATTTGTTCCATCGTTACATTTGATGGATGTGTTCAAAGTTGTAAGGTGATTGGATAAAGTGATAGAAAGGTCCATTCTTCTGAACAGACCGGTCAGTAACGAGACTCATAAGCTCACAAAAAACAAATGTGCTGCGACCGGGAGACAACAACTGGCACTCTATACACCACAGATATCCTGTTCGCTGGATATTTGCACAAACTGATTGATCAAGACAATTTGTGAACCTTATACAACCGGCAACACAGTGATAATGTAGGATGATGGATCACAGTATGATCCAAACACAACAGAAGGGGATGTAACATGAATGAAAGGTACATAAAGTATCTGTTTCATTTGTTCAGTTGGAGAAGTATTCTGCTGTTCCAGTTGCGATGGACTCTTCACTGGTTTAATAAAGAGTGTTTCAAATATTGATCACATCCTTGTGTCGGATTTAGTTTAAAATACTCATCAACAAGCCCATAGGTTAAACCTGTGCTTTGTCTCTCTCGTTATTTTTTCCCCTGTTTCTCTTTTATTCGATGTAAGTCCATAATAAGTAAAGTTGGAAGGAATGAAGGGTGGGGAAATCGTGTTCCTTACTGTTCTCCCAATTCAACAAAACCGAGGTGACAACTTCCAATTATTGATTTAGATTTATTGCAGTGCTGAATATTGTAGACTCTTCAGTCAGATAGACAAACAAGAATTGGATTCCAGCTCTGTTCTGTACAAAACAATTAAAGTGAATGGCAGCATACAACGACGAGAGTGGGATTCAAACCCACGCATACAAAGCACAACGGATTAGCAGTCCATCACCTTAACCACGCGGCCATCTCGTCACACATAGGAGCAACTTGACATGTTATCATAATTATCTCACTTCTCCAAACAGTTGAGTAAATTGCGCAGAGCAGCAGGTACTTCTCCCGGTCTCAGTGAAATGATAAACAGCAGAGTGCAGTTCTCAGAGTATGGTATGACCTCTGGAGTATGGGACTAGCGCGGTCTCAATGCTACACTTGCTCGCATAAGTGAAGCACAAATAAAGAAATTGCTCAGGGACAAGATCTGTTGGATCGAATTCTGAGAAGAATTGAAGCCGATGGAATGAAAAGCCCCGTGACAGCGGGATGTAACATTGTATGTGAGGAATTGCTTCCCAGAGTCGAGGAGAATGCACAGTGTTGTTCCCAGGATTTAGTATTGCGCCTTCTTGACTTCCGTACAGATATTAACGTCCCGCATGTGTATTCAGAGCGGCCAATTTCAAAATCCTAAATAGGCAAAACTGACAAATAAACTAAGCAACGCAGAACGCCACAGAAACTAACATCTTCCAAAGAAGTGTGTTTCGGCTAACATCACTCTTTGTCCATTTCCTGACCATGAAGCTTCAAGAATCATTGGTCGATGTTCATAAAAGCTGCTGTGGGCAAGACTTGATCTCGCAACCTCGGCATTTCACACATATGTCTCTGTGTGTCTTCTTGCAACATTAAATGATCCTTTAATATGTTACTTTAGCACCTGATAGGAGGAAAAGGTGGGATTAACAGTCACGGCCGTGACTCAAATTCGAGCCGAGATTGCTGCGGCCGCAACACAGAGTATTAACCACAATGCAATCATGGCGCCGCATATAGACCAGACGGAAGGTGAAAATAATTGCGCTGCCAGAGAGTATGCCAGGAGCAGCACCAGACGCACAATATGAACAATTGCTAAAAAGCAGATTGAGATGGGGAACACAGAATGGCAGGAATCTTTGCAATTCGTGGTCCGAGAGGTTATGAAGGCTCCGTGTTGAATCTGTA